GCTCGAACGGGGAAGTCCACGCTCGAGCGGGGAACCTGCTTTTTGAAATTTTGTTTATGCATTTTGTGTTCCGTTTTCCGTTCCTTTTCACTGCTAAGCACTCTTAGGCATACATTGAGCATTGTAAATGAGTTAGAAGAATAAGAATTAAGCCTAAAAAGGAATATGTGAATTAAGAACGAATTGGGTCGGTTGTGACCCATATGTGTTATGTGATGTGTAGGGTCAAGCTCCAGGGCAAATCAATCAGCCGATCACTGTTAGTAATATCTAACAAAGATATCTGAAATATGTTATTGTCCAATTGCTTACGTCCATGTAAGTTTTATAAGATTTGTTGATTCGATTGACATAAATGATTGGGCCGAAGGCCGATCGGCATAAATGATTGGGCTTAAGGCCGTTTTGACACAAATGAAAGTTTGACATGCATGAATGGGCCAGAGGCCAGTTTGACATGAATGAATGGGCCAGAGGCCAGTTTAACATGCATGAATGGGCCAGATGCCAGTTTGACATGCATGAATGGGCCAGATGCCAGTTTGACACGCATGAATTGGCCAGAGGCCAGTTTGACACGCATGAATGGGCCAGAGGCCAGTTTGACACGCATGAATGGGCCAGAGGTCAATTTGACATGAATGAATGGGCCAAAGGCCAGTTTGACAAATGGAAGATAAATGGGCCAAAAGCTAGTATGTTTGGAACCACAGTCACTTGACTTAAGTTGTATATATATATATATATATATTAAATAGAAATATGAATTGGGCCCAAGGCCGTTTGAAGCATGTTGTTCTACGTACCGTTTGTATAACTCTTTTATTTGATATTATTCACTAGGCTATCGCTCACGCTCATTCATGTGTTTGTAGGTGAGCCAAGAGAAGTCCAAACTCAGCCCCAGTGAAGTCTGTATGGAACAACTAAGGTTTTGAAGAGTCAGCCCTTGCGTCTCACGCACGAGACACGTCTTCGCCCTTCTACCATTCTATGTTATTTTGTCATGTTGGCGAGGACTTTGGTGTACGTCTGTATATAGCTTTGTTTTGGCTGACTTAGATTTGAATGATCCTGTCTGTATAGAACCTTATGTTACTATACTTTTTGTTGTGAGTTATTAACATATGTAAATGCGGAATGTTATGATGTGCATATAAGCACGGCTCTATGGATAAAGTTTTAAATTTGCTTCTGTTTGGCACCTTTACTCTGATGAGTTTTGTCTTATTTGGTTTGAGGCCGTAGGTAATCTCGTGATTACTGGTCGGTTATGGCCTTAACCCATAGGGGCGGGTTTGGGTCGTGACACTTCCCCTCTGCAAGTAGAAGCTAATGCTTGGCGCTGATAGCAGGCCCCAAGGCATTACTAGCCTATGGTTGATAGCATGCCCCAAAGTTCATTACCTTGGCATTGATAGCAGGCCCCAAGACTTACTGATTGGAGTTGATAGCAGGCCTAGAGATACCAGTTTACCATGGCAACCCCGCGAAGATGGAAGCAGGGCAGCCCGAGCGCAAGGGACTCCTTTTCCATTTACTCTAGTCACGAACCTACTTTAGTCGGACAGGCAGGACTAAAGAAACCCCCTTGGGCTTGGTACAGCATGGCTGATTGCAGGCTTGGTTGTGGCCTTCGCCCTGGGAAGTTGGAGAGTTTGTGGTTAGGTAGTTAAAGATGAAGGCTTTGCTGAGGTGAGCACAAACATAGTCAATAGAAGACTAATGGAGTCCTGAAAATGCATGTACTGACCAAGTAGAACTAAGAAGACGAGTGTAGTAGCAAGGTTTACCACTGCAAGTGCACTTGCTGAGGTTTGAACTAAGAAGACAAGTGCAGCAGCAAGGTTTACAACTGCAAGTGCACTTGTTGAGGTTCAGTCTGAGAAGGCAAGTGCAGCGGCAAACATTCCTGCTGCAACTGCACTTGCTGTGGCTCAAAAGGGAGTTGTAGCGCCAAACACCCCCGTCGCAACTACACTTGTTAAGGCTCAAGAAAGGTAGTTGCGGAGGCAAACAGATAGTACACAGCACATGCAGAGGGACAGGTGACACCTTCAGTCTGGTGGCTCAAGGCAGAATATTCCATGTGATCCTCTGTGACACATGTCCTCTCTCTATTTGGCCACTTGGTGTCCTCTTGGTACCAAGAAAAAACCTTTAAATATGACCCATTTCCCAAGGTGTAAGAAGGGAAATTTTGGAGATTTGAGGGAGATGCTGCCCATTTGTGCACTGCCATACATTTCTTCTTGAGCTACCTGCTTCACCCTCACCCAGCTGCTCACTCTCGAACTTCCCAGGCAGTTGCTACTGCTCATCCTCTAGCCATTCCACCATTGTTGGACCATTAGCATAGTTTTGCCTCTCTAATCACCTCCTAACCTTGAACCCCCCTACAGAGTTTATCTCGGTCATTCGAACAACTTAATTTTTAGCGCCTATAGAGTAGATCACCCAAATAAAAATCAAATTTATTAGATATCAATAACTACATATATTAATCACATTTATCAATATAATTTTATTTTATTTTATTTTATTTTTTTGGTTGGCAATAATAGTTTCTAAATAGTACTTAAATTCTACCACCACATCTCTACCCATGCTGTAGCCCCTAGTTTGGATAAGTCATGTCGAACAATCGTTGGTGTTTTAGATATAGACAATCAAGCAAATAGTAGTTCAAATGAGTAATGTCAAACTATTGTCGGTGGTTATGATGTAGACCACCAAATAAATAGCAATTGTTTGGATGTAGATCACCGAATAAATGGTGGTTCGGATGCATACTATCAAACTAAATATGGAGAGACTACAAGGGATTGTGGCAATCATAATTTGCCAGTGGGAGGGAAATCAAGAGGAAAGGTAGGAAAGTAAGAGATCGTTTGATATGAGAAAATGGAGAAGTAAGAGGCTGTGACTAGGGATATAGCATTTAAAGTTAGGGTTTGACATGAAAGGAATATAAGGTAACGTCATGCTGTTGGGAGAGAAAGAAAGGTGACACCAAGTGGTAAGAAGGGTAAGGAAGGTGGAGCTGCATTTCTAGAAGGGAACGAGAAGGGGTTAAGTATTGCCAAATATAATGATGCCAGATATAAAAAGAGTTGGTATAAATATAGATTAATGTTGATATCAATTGAAGTGCTTAAAGAGTAAGAATAAAATTTTGAATTTGAGATAAAGTGCTCAAAACGATGAGAGGCTATGTTTGGCATAGGCTATTTAGGTTAAAATAGTTATAAAAAACACAAAATAATTTAAGAAGTTAATAAAATAAAATATTATATTTAAATTATAATTATTTTATTTTTTTTCATAAAAATTAAAAAATTTATTTCAAACAAAATATTTTAATCTTAAACTAAAATAATTAAAAAATAAAAAAAATCAATTCAAACGAAATTTTAACGACAAAATTTGAGATGCGTTTAGAGTTGAAAAGCAAATCAGCAAATTCCAAATGTGTCCGTAACTTTCATCGTACGGCACAAACCCGTTTTAATTCATTCGGGTTAACGGGTTTAGGACAAAGGTCGCCAAATTCCACACGCAAAGCGCAAAAGGCACATTGAAGGGCGAGGATGACAACTTCAAAAGAAAAATCTTAAAGGAGAGTTGTTTTAGTAAAGATTTTATTACGGGTATGATTGGTTTGAGTTTGGGAGATGAGTTTTAGAGATAAAAAGTATGAAAAATTGTTTAGTTTGTTTTTTTTAAAAGATGTTTTGAAAAATTATTTTGAGAGAGAGTTTTGAAAAAAGTGATTGATTTGATGTGTATGAGAGAGAGATTTGTTTGGAAAACTTATAAACCAAACAAGTTTTGAAAAAAAAATTTGGAAAAATTTGTTTGGTTTGATTTCTTTTAAAAATTTATTTGTAAAGAATTTTTCACAAAAATTTTTAAGAAACACAAATCAAACAAAACCGTGTAAGTGTGAGTTTTACATTTTACATTTAATTCATTCGGGTTAACGGGTTTAGGACAAAGGTCGCCAAATTCCACACGCAAAGCGCAAAAGGCACATTGAAGGGCGAGGATGACAACTTCAAAAGAAAAATCTTAAAGGAGAGTTGTTTTAGTAAAGATTTTATTACGGGTATGATTGGTTTGAGTTTGGGAGATGAGTTTTAGAGATAAAAAGTATGAAAAATTGTTTAGTTTGTTTTTTTTAAAAGATGTTTTGAAAAATTATTTTGAGAGAGAGTTTTGAAAAAAGTGATTGATTTGATGTGTATGAGAGAGAGATTTGTTTGGAAAACTTATAAACCAAACAAGTTTTGAAAAAAAAATTTGGAAAAATTTGTTTGGTTTGATTTCTTTTAAAAATTTATTTGTAAAGAATTTTTCACAAAAATTTTTAAGAAACACAAATCAAACAAAACCGTGTAAGTGTGAGTTTTACATTTTACACGGATATTTATTAAAATACTTAAAATTCTTAATATTATTTAAAATAAATTTAAAAATATTAATTTAAAAAAATCTAAATATTTTATCAAATTTCTTACTAAGGGTATGACTTCTGTCCAGTCAAGATCGAACTGGACCGTGTTGTTGGGCCCGTGGGGGTCCACCACGGGTCCCGTTTTGATAATCTGAACAGTTAAATGTGTAAAAATCGTCGAGTACTTTATGTATATAAAAAATCATGCTGATCGGATATCGATAGTTATGTGATCAAAATAGTTTTTTTGTCAACCATTAATTTATTCATCGTCTAATTTTTTTAATACGAAACTGATTTAATCATATAGCTATCGATATCCAATCAACGTGATTTTTTTCAAATACATAGTACTCGACGAGTTCTAAATATTCAACGATTCAGATTATCAAAACGGGATCCATGATAAACCCCACGAACCTAACAACACAGTCCAAACCGATCCCGAATTAGACACAAGTCATACCCTCTTACTAAATATCTGTGGAACCCACACGATTACTCTCTTCAGAAAGTCCTCACATGACCTCCATCTACCGAACTCTCTTCATCTACCCCAACCCAACTCTCTCTCTCTCTCTCTCTCTCTATGTATATATATTTAGCAATAAATACGCATATCCAAGTTGCTATGCGGAGCACAAAAGCCTCCATTGAAGTCTCTCTCTCTCTTGCCTCCTTAGCCGTCAACACCAATGGAGTTGGTAAGTCTAAAGGAGGTGTTTGGTTGTCTCGAGAAAATCTCAAGAAAAAAAAAGAAAAAGAAAAGTGAATTGTCAACAAAAGTTTGCTTTTATTATTCGAAGCAGTCAACGTTTTCCATTTCCTTACGCTTTCTCACCAACCAAACATGTCTGTTAAAAAATTTGATTTAATACCATTTGCTTGTTTTTCTGAGTTGTATCACAGGTTGCACCTGTTGTTGCTGGTGGTGGTGTGAAAATGGAGAGCGAGGGAATGAGGAAGAACTCAACCCTAATTTGTGTTCCACTGATGGCCGACTCGGTCGATCAGATGTTGATTTATATGAATAAGGCGAAATTGAACGGTGCTGATCTGGTGGAGGTTCGATTGGATAGTTTGAAGAGCTTTAATCCTCCTTTGGACATCGAAACCCTAATCAAACGGTGTCCTTTGCCCACTCTTTTCACTTACAGGTTCGCAACTGCAATTAAACTATCTCCGTAGTATAAAATTTATGTTCAATCCGATCTGCATTGAATTATCAGGATTTTTTTTTTTTTTTTTGAAATGGAATGAATAAAAATGGTTGCTGTTGCTAAATTGTCTTGTTTAGTTTGACAAGATTAGGAGGCACAATTTCCTGCTACTTGTTGATACACGACAAAATGATCGAGACAAACAAGCACCATTATTAAGGACATGTTCGATTAGTAGGATTATAGCATAGTATTGGGATTGTTGGTCAATGTATTCACAATCCATGTTTGATTTCAAATTTTATTAACTGGATTACATGTACGGTGGATATTCAATCTGACGAAATTGGCAAATTTTTAATATTGAGAGACATAAATGGGGCTAGGTGATCAAGTCACTTCTTTCTCTTTGTTTGGGAGAATTATGTTTGTTGTGCCGTGTGTTCAATAAAACTATTAATACTTGGTCACTAGTACCAGGTTAACAATAACATCACAGCAATTGTATTGCTGTATTAACTTATTATTTTACTTCCCTATGATGCTATAGAATACTTGTGTATGAAATATAAATTGGCATATGGATGGGAAACCTCTTGTTATACAGAAACCTCAATAAATTAACCTAGAACCTGGACTCTGACTGGTTTTACTTTTTAAGCATTTGAAACCTTCCATTTTTTGGCTTATCCCAGCAAAGTACATCTTCTGCTTCTGTTGAACATTTTCATATAATTTTATCTCATTGTATATCTTTTAAAAGATATGCAGCACATAATTTTCTGATTTCATATATTTTTCTAGACCAAAATGGGAAGGTGGTATGTATGATGGTGATGAAAGCAGTCGACTGGAGGTGCTTCAATTGGCCATGGAATTGGGAGCTGATTACATTGATGTTGAGCTTCAGGTTACTGTCTTGTACCATAAATTAAACAATTCAAAACCTGGTATTGATTATATTATAAACTAGGTTGCAGAAGGTCATGATTTGAAATCATCTTGTTTGAGGCCAATTACTCAGAAAATCTCAAAACATTAGGCTTATTATATTATTAATTTGTATGTAAAAATCATAAGCGGTTTTGAGATTTCGAAATGGATTAAAATGCAAATGAGATACAAAAATTCTTGACAAAATGGTTGAAATTTATACATTGCTCTTAGTAGGAAGTAGGGGTGTCAGTTTGAAAAATCTTTGCTATTTGGTACATGGTTATGCTGTTTCCTGTTTGTAAACCTCAATATAGTGTATATCAGGAACTTGAATACACTTTCTATAGTGTTCTGTTACTATTATTACATTTTGGTTCATTTATTCAGATTTTGGTGCCATTTGTAGTCCTTTTGGAAGGCATCTGCAAGTTATTTTTATGACTATTTTCCCCTTCTGAAAGCAAGCTCAGAAAAGCCTTTGATAGGATCTTCCTTTTCTATGTGCGGATGTGTGTTTAAACTTGAGTAACATAGAGAAGTTTGCATTTTTTCTTTGCTTTTCTTTTCTTATGTTTTTATTCTTGTTCCCCGTAACTAGCTAAATCACTGGTATGTCGAAACTGGATATACACACCAAATACTTCTTGCATGAAACTACTTCTAAAGAACTTTTTCCATTAACAAAGTGATAATTCATTAATGAATGGGCATGAACTCAGATCTACCTTTGCCAAGTGATTTTTTTTCAAGATGCCAGATTTCTTTTTCTTGTCCTCATTTTTGGTATGCAACTGAACTTGTAAAGACTAAATCCCTGTACTCCTATCCATTCATCTGAAGGTTATTCACGAGTTCAACAGTTCCATGCATGGAAAGAAGCCTGCAAAATGTAAACTAATCGTTTCTTCGCATAACTATGAAAATACTCCATCTGTTGAGGATCTTGGCAACCTTGTGGTAAAAATACAAGCAACTGGAGCTGACATTGTGAAGATTGCGACAACCGCCTTGGACATCACCGATGCAGCACGTGTTTTTCAAATAACTGTTCATTCCCAAGTAAGAGGCGTAAGTAGTGTGTCCAATTCTTTGAACCCTTTAAGTTTTTCCCCCATCATGAAATTCTCTCTATCTCAGGCTGAAACTAATTATTTTTAATGATACTGATTCAAAAGATCCTATGGGCAGTGATTGAGACTGATAGATCGTGCTATTAGTTTTTTGAGGCAATTATTATTATTTTTTTAATGTTAGTTATGAACAATTAGTTCTTTTTCTGAAAGCATTAGTATTCTTCCTGTTATTTTCTTATTTTTCTAAGAGTTGCAAGTATGCGATGCGCTCTTTTTAAAATGTCATGTATGAGAAATTCTTTCAAGGGTCTTTATTTGATATGAATATTTTTTGGGTTCATTCCATTTGTTATGATTTACTTGCAACATTTATAAAATTTTCAGGTCCCAATAATAGCAATGGTTATGGGTGAAAGGGGTTTGATGGCAAGGATACTTTGTCCCAAATTTGGGGGATATCTTACTTTTGGTACCCTTGAGTCAGGAATAGTATCAGCACCTGGGCAACCAACAATGGATGATTTGGTGAACTTGTACAATATCAGACAGATAGGACCTGATACAAAAGTATTTGGCATTATCGGGAAGCCTGTTGGCCACAGCAAGTCACCTATTTTATACAATGAAGCATTCAAAAAGGTTGGCTTTAATGGAGTTTATCTGCATTTGTTAGTGGATGACGTTGCAAACTTTCTCCAGACTTATTCATCTACAGATTTTGCTGGGTTCAGGTTCAGTATTAAGATTTGATAATAGTAGTATAATATAATATTTGAATTGTTACTTGTTCATGGTTTGGTGTGGCCCATATTTCAATTCCTTTAGTTTCCTTTTTATCTGGTTGCTAAAATTTTCACAAGGGGCTTCGTTTGCTTGTGGTGATTTTCATGATTATATGCTACCAACTGAAACACTATGCACAAATTAGTCTATAGATGGAAGTAATTCGATTGACTCTTGTGCAGTTGTACCATTCCTCACAAGGAGGCTGCACTTAAGTGCTGTGATGAGGTTGATCCTGTTGCAAAGGTAATTGATGATCTCATAGTTTTGCAGCATTCATTTGATGAATTTGATCCAGTTAAAATGTTCAATGTTCAATGTTCTTGAGGTGTTCACCTTTTCTAATATCGTGTGCAATTGATTTTCTTCTTGATGACATCGCACAGTCAATAGGAGCTGTTAATTGCATTGTCAGGAAAAGTGATGGGAAGTTCTTTGGCTGCAATACAGACTACGTTGGTGCTATTACTGCTATTGAGGATGCACTAGGAGGTTTCTTCTGTACTGTACTAGTTAGGCAAATTTCTTTCACACAGTTCCTTTCTAAACTCCACTATTTTCTTTTACAGGTTTGCAGCATGTAAATGGCATGGTTGTGTCGCCCTTGGCTGGTAAACTGTTTGTGGTCATTGGTGCCGGTGGCGCTGGCAAGGCACTTGCTTATGGCGCGAAAGCGAAGGGAGCAAAAGTTGTGATTGCAAATCGCACTTATGGTTAGTTTTGAGCTTCGAATTGTATTTTGCTGTAGTGTATTTTATTAAGAATGAAATGTTACATGGCTTACTAGTTCTGTAATTATATATGTTGTTTGTAGCATGATGAGTTCTGATTTACCCCTTCTTTTCTATGCAAGAACGAGCTAAAGAAATTGCAGATACAATTGGAGGAGATGCTTTATCTCTTGCTGATTTGAGTAATTTCCATCCAGAGGATGGTATGATCCTTGCAAACACCACCTCTATAGGAATGCAACCAAAAGTTGATGAGACACCAGTTCCCAAGGTATGCCTATGTACTTATCTTATATTGAAACTATTAGCTTGATAGACATTGTTGGGTCTATTTCCTAACAACCTACAATTTGGGACAATTGGTGACTTAACATAGTATTAGAGCTTTGTTTCAGGAAGCCCCAATGTCAAGTCTTGTTGCCCCCATATTATCAAAGCCATGTTTTAGTTTTTTGTTTCTTGTTTTTGGAAACAAAAGTGGGTTGTTTTTAGAAAAAATTTCCGAAAAGAGTTTTTGAAAACAATTTGCCAAACATTTTTTTTGAAATTTTCCAGGAAATGAAAACCAAAAACAAAAAAACAAAATACAACTAAACAGAGAAAAACAGGGTGCCTACCTTAGTCATTGTGCCTTGTGTAATGCTTTCACTGGTAAAATAGTAAATTTTCTTGGGCAGAATAATATCATGATTCTGAGAAGTTCGTGTTCCATGCTTTCTAATGATTCAATGTCCACACAAATGCATTTAACTGTCAAATTACCCTCTTTCATTCACATTCTGTGTGAGAAAATAAGTATTTCTCTGTTTTCACAGCAAGCTCTAAAATCATACGCCCTAGTTTTCGATGCTGTTTATACCCCCAAAATCACAAGACTTCTGCGGGAAGCTGAAGAATCCGGTGCCAAAATCGTTACAGGGGTGGAGATGTTCATTGGGCAGGCATACGAACAATTCGAGAGGTTCACTGGATTACCCGGTATGACAAATTTAACAACCTTCCGCAATTCATGTTGACTTACAGAATTGTAGTTGACAAGTGGCTCTGACTATTTTCTCGTTTGCCTTTTGGGTTTACTTCATTGTCTAATTGCAGCACCAAAGGAGCTGTTTGGGAAAATCATGGCAAAATATTGATAAAGAAGGTTTGCTTGGCAAATTTCCTAGGCATAGCTGATTATGTTTTCCGCTTCAGCTTAATATCGAAACTCATTCATTTATGTAATGGCACTTGGTTTTTTTATGTGTTCTATTTTTATTGATATAACAACTCTACTTAATAAGCCTTTGTCCCAATTAATTTGGGATCTTTCATTTTTTATTAATGGAATTAGGTTTTTTACCCCCCTGGATATTCATGTTGGTTACATTGTGTTCAGTTTTAAGATTTGTCGACGGAAAGGAAAAGAAAGAAAAAGGAAAAAACAGTGGGAGAAGCTGAATTTTTTTGCTTTTGTTTGTTTGGTTGGTTGGTTGGTTCATAAGAAAATGAACAAGCACAAATACCTTCATTTCCCTTTCTTTTTTCGTAGTAAATTCTAGATCCGAACGTAGCATTAATAAATTTATATTAATTTTAGAATGTTCTAGTTTGGCAACCACATACCATGCTTTGGTTTGGGAGGAATATACATGTGGAAATTCTTATTGTCATGTTTGCTACTTCAGAAATCCAATGGTTTCTATGCAGGAAAATCCATGGTGGTTTAGGTTCTGTTTGGCCTGTGTTAAAGAACTGGAGGCATGGCGGTCATGACCTTTTATTTTATTTTTGCCTTTTCTGTTTGGGTGATCCCATTATCAGGCAATTCTAGTTATGGCCCTTTGTTAAGTTCACTTGCCTTGTGTTTTCATCATGGATTTAAAAATTTCAATATGAAATATCTAAATCTATAATATACACAGCCTTGATGAAAATTATTTATGTGGGATTCATGTGAAATTTGCTTCGGCTAGAAGTGAAAAACTGCACTAGCAATAGTTTCCTTCAACCTTCCTTTTTTATTTTTTTGTTTCATAATTGACTTTTTAAACTTAAAATAAACAGTTTTGTTTTTATTTTTTCTAGTTTTATTTTATTTTATATTAAAAAATTGGCTAAAAAAGCAAAAACCAAACGGAGTCTCTAGCCTCCTGTATCTGGTCGCCTGTGCTCATTCTTATATTTTTGTTTGAGACCAGTGGGCTTCAATCCATCAACACCATTCGTTTTTTTTTTTTTTTTTTTTTTTTTTTTTTGTCTGCCAAAAAAAAAAAAAAATTGTAAACAAATATTGTCTTATTATTATTATTATTTTTTTGTGCAAAAATAATTTGTAAAAATTCAATCTTTTATTTGTTTATTTTTAAAGTGAGTTTTTTGAAAATAAATAAATCAATCAAAATGGTTCATAAATAAGTTGGGTGTGCTTTAAAAAACATGATAACAAATTTGGCAAGAAAAAGGCAGATAAAAGACATATATCTTGTTACTATAAAAAAAAAAAAAAAAATCATTGTATTTAGTTTTGATTTTTTTAAAATAATTTTTAAATTTTCGTATTTTATTATTTTTAATAACAAAATTTCTTCATAGTTTAATAATAAATTATTCAACAAGACTATGGCCCTGATTTTTTTAACAAGACTATGGCGTGTTTTGTAGAGTTTTTTTAATTAAAATTTGATAATCAAAAAGTAAAAATTAAAAATTTCTATTCTTCAGTTTTTTAAATAATTTTTTTTTTTCAACTTATTTAAATTATTTTTATTTAATAAGTTATAAACAAAAATTGAATCAACGAATCTAATATGTATTTTCAAATAAAAATAATTATCTTTTTTAACTTATTTAAATTATTTTTAGCAAAACTTGAATCAAAGAATCTAATATAAATTTTCAAATTAAAGTAAGTTTTAATCACTCTTACCATCAATACAAATATCACTTATAAATCCAGAATTTCTTGCCCAAAATTTAACCAAAAATAACAAAAGAAGAAGAAATTATTGATCCAAAAAAAAAACCCAAAATAAGAAGAAATAAGAAAAAAAAAGAAAGAAAGTAAAATCAAAAGATTTACATTGAATGGAAATTCACACGCATTCATTCGTCATCGTCCCAAATTTCTCATCAAAAGTGAAGAAAGAGCCATTTATCAGCAAGTCAGTGGGGGTTATTGACTTATTTTACCTTGTCTTACTGCTCTACTTGTTTTTTTTTTTTTTTTTTCCCCAAATTCTGTGCAGAAAATTTTGCATTCTGTTCTGGCAATGATGGTGAATTTTGGTGCACTGTCAATGGCCAAAATATATTTGTCCTTATGTGGATTGTGTTTAGATTGGTGATGCATAAGACATGTTATTGCTTTTTGTGGATTTGGGTGATGAATATACATTGATGGGTTAGTTTAAATCGTGTATTATGATTACATGCCTTCACATTTGTTCAGCATCACATCCAAGATCAAAGCGCTTGGTAGATTGGGTCGCATTGCCTGTGCACGCAAACTGTTTGATGAAATGCCCTGCAGAGACTCAGTTGCGTGGAATGCAATGCTTAGTAGTTATTCTCAACTGGGTCTTTACCGAGAGGCTGTCTTGTTGTTCCACCACATGAGAGATTCCGGGACCAAACCCGACAGCTTCTCATTCACTGCAACTTTGAGTGCGTGCGCAGGCACATTTGAACTTCTCTACGGGGAAAAAATCCATGCACAAGTCATTGTTTTGGGATACAATTCTTCGTTGCCGGTGAACAATTCGCTTATTGATATGTATGGGAAGTGTTTGAGCCCTTCTAGTGCTAATAGAGTGTTTGAGGAGATGGGCACGCAAAATGACGTGTCGTGGTGTTCAATATTGTTTGCATATACAAATGCCGGTCAGTTTGATATTGCTTGTGGTGTATTTGATACTATGCCAAAGAGGGTGGACATTGCTTGGAATACTATGATTGCTGGTTATGCGCAATGTGGCAAAATTGAATCGTGTTTTGATTTGTTTAGGAGGATGCTAGAGAGTTGTTGTGGACCAGATCAGTGGACACTTAGTGCCCTCATGAATGCTTGTGCCAAATCAGAAGAGTGTTTTCATGGTTTCATGATGCATGCATTTGTTGTTAAAAGTGGTTGGAGCTCTGCGGTGGAAGCAAATAACTCGATTTTAAGCTTTTATGCCAAGGTAGGCTGTCAGGAAGATGTAGTGAAGGTGTACGAATCCATTGGAACTCTGTCCCAGGTTTCTTGGAATGCAATAATTGATGCTCACATGAAAATAGGAGACACCCACAAAGCGTTTATTGTGTTTCAGCAGGCACCTGAGAAGAACATTGTTTCGTGGACATCAATGATCACGGGGTATGCAAGAAATGGGCTCGAAGAACAAGCTCTAAGCTTTTTTGTTGATATGATGAGAGATGGTCTCAAACCAGATGGTTTTACATTTGGAGCTTTTTTGCATGCGTGTTCAAACTTGGCGACGCTGAAGCACGGTAAAATGGTCCACGGTTGTGTAATTCATTATGGTTTCCATGCTTATACTTATGTTGGCAATGGCCTAATTAACATGTATGCCAAGTGTGGGGACATAGGCGGCTCAAACCAAGCATTTAATGGTATTATTGACAAAGATCTCGTCTCTTGGAATGCATTGTTGATTGCATTTGGGTTGCATGGACAAGCTAGCCAAGCTCTACAGCTTTATGAAGAAATGGGTGAATGTGGGTTGAGACCAGATAAAGTGACCTTCATTGGCCTGTTGATGACTTGTAGCCATTCGGGACTTGTGGAGAAAGGTCGGGCTCTTTTTGAATCAATGAGCTCAGTTTATGGGCTTTTCCCTGAAATGGATCATGTGGCATGCGTGGTGGATATGCTTGGTCGAGGTGGGTACTTGGAAGAAGCAAGAGAGCTGGCAAATAAGTATCTAGGAACAGATAGAGCAAGTATTAGATCTCGTGAAGCTCTTTTTGGAGCATGTTTTGCTCATGCGGACACAGAAATGGGAACCCAACTGGGTGGAGATTTAAAACTTTTAGAGCCTCGAAATGAGATGAGTTATGTATTGTTGTCAAACTTGTATTGTGCGAGTGGGCAGTGGAAAGAAGCAGAGGTGGTGAGGAAGGCAATGATAGATCAAGGTGTGAAGAAAATGCCTGGTTGTAGCTGGATCGAAGTGAAAAACAAGGTGATAGCTTTTGTGGCAGGGAGGCATTCAAATCCACACATGAAAGAGTTACATGAGATGCTGTACTTTTTTGAACAAGAAATGAGAAATCCGTGTTATGCTGGATCACAATGATGCGATCCAAGATACTCTGAGGAATTCAACTCTCGATTGTAGCAATATTGAGACTCAGCCATTTGACAGTCAGTGTTCTCCACCTTCAGTGAGTGAGTCAAATTGTGATAATATAAAGATTGCTTATTTGTTAGGGTTTGATTTTGAATTTGAATTTGTATTTTGATCGCAAATAGTTAAATTGGGTTCGCTTGGAGATCACGATGATGAGATTCGATATACTACGAGGAATTCAACTCTCTTTCATAGACTCAACCCTTCGACAGTCATTGTTCTAATTGCCAAGTCTTTCCATTATATGATTACTAGCCTATCACCCGTACTATGCACGGGATAATTATTGATATTTATATTTATTTTAAATTTTTTTTAATATATAAATTATGTTTTTTAATATTTTTTATAAAACTAATTTAATAATTTTATCACTAACTATAGTGTACAGAAAAAATTAAAAAGGCTACTGCAGTAACTATACACGAGTTGTATTTATAATTATTTATATGAGAGGATTTTAAATGCTAATCAGGGATTTTGATCAAATCAATAAATGCAGGCATGTGGATTGAAAAAAGTTAATAAATGTTGATCAGGAGATTTTGACCAAATTAATAAATGCTGAGGGTTTTTTTTTAAATCAAAAATTTAGAAAATTACGATTGAGATATTGGAGCTCCTACAAGGCTTGGGGTTTAAAAACCCCATTTTTCTTAATATATTTATAATTATCTATATATGTGAATTTTTATTTTTAAATGTCTTTTTATTTTTATTTTTAAATGTCTTCTTTTTTTCTTTTTTTATATTATATTAAAGTTTAATATTTTGATAATAATCATATGTGTTGGACTTTTCAAGAAATTTTTTTTATGTTTGTTCTTATTACATTAAAGTGTTATTACGAGAGATAATAATCAGATGTGTTGGGACTTTTCAAGGTATTCATATTTGTTGGATTTCAAAGAATTTTTTTTATACTTGTTCTTAATGCATTAAAGTGTTATTATGAGGGTAAGACTTGGAGGCTGAGAAAAGTTAATAAATGCTAAGTTTTTTTTTTTTTAAATCAGAAAATTTAGATTGGGAGATTGGAACTTCCACAAGGCTTGGGGTTAAAAACCCATTTTTGCTTAATATGTAGCATAGATAAATAGTATAGATAATTATTTATATATGTGAATTGCGATTTTTAAATGTCTTTTTTTTATTTTTTTTAAATGTCTTCTTTTTTTCATTTTTTATATTATATTAAAGTTTAATATTTTGATAATAATCATATGTGTTGGACTTTTCAAGAAATTATTTTTTATACTTGTTCTTAATGCATTAAAGTTTTATTATGAGGGATAATAATCCTATGTATTGAGACTTTTCAAGAAATTCATATGTGTTGGATTTCAAATAATTTTTTTTATACTTGTTCATAATGCATTAAAGTGTTATTATGAGAGTAAGACTTGGGGGTTGGGAGAAATTAATAAATGCTAAGGTTTTTTTTTTTAATAAAAAAATCAAAAAATTTAAATTGGGAGATTGGAGCTCCCACACGACTTGAGGTTAAAAATTCTTTTTTGCTTAATATATAATATAGATTTCCATTAATCATTTTCTTTTAGTTTGTTTTTCAACATATAGCAAATAGTATATCTTTCTTTGCTCGTATGAGAGTTGCAAAATGCACAATCTTTATGCATTCACAAGTAATTTTTGGGTTCATTCCATTTGTTATAATTTACATGCAACATTTACAAAAAATTTCAGGTCCCAATAATAGCAATGGTTATGGGTGAAAGGGGTTTGATGGCAAGGATAATTTGTCCCGAATTTGGGGGATATCTTACTTTTGGTACCCTGGAGTCAGGAATAGTATCAGCACCTGGGCAACCAACAATTGATGATTTGGTGAACTTGTACAATTTCAGACAGATAGGACCTGATAGAAATACAAAAGCATTTGGCATTATTGGGAAGCCTGTTGGCCACAGCAAGTCACCTATTTTATACAATGAAGCATTCAAGAAAGTTGGTTTTAATGGAGTTTATCTGCATTTGTTGGTGGATGACGTTGCAAACTTTCTTAAGACTTAATCATCTACAGATTTTGCTGGGTTCAGGTTGAGTAATAAGATTTGACAATAGTAGTATTTATATAATTGTTGTGCTTTGGTTTGGCCCATATTTCAAAGTTTATTTCTATCTGGTAACTACAATTATCACGGGGGACTCTTTTGTGCGTTCTGATCTTCTATATATATTTTTCCTAAAGTCACTTTTATAGGAACACACTGACAGAAACCTTACCAAATTGTTACATGTTTGTGTGAGTCCATTATACGATTCTTTAATGCGGAATAAATACTTGATATGAATCGCAATAAATGAAGAAACTAAATTGCTCAAGAACAGTACCTCCAGCCATTGGTGCCGCTCACGTTAGGAGACGCTGGTTTAACAGTCTTCCAAACTCTGCTCACTCTAATTTGATGGTGTAAGACTGAAGAGAATTGAGTCAGTAAGCTTGGGGACCAAAACCAAGTATTTATAGCCAAGCTCCCATCAAGCTTTTCGGTGGCTCCATGTTGCCACTGCTTCATATTATCATGGGCACGTTCCAACTGCTCTATGAACGTGATGAAGATGCATAGAAGTTGAGAACCATTATAAAAACAAATTTCCTGAAATTAAGGGAAGCTTGACACCCGTTCTTATGAACGGTTTCCGTGAGAAGCGGTCAACATTCTCCCACTTGGTCCACATTTCTAAACTATTGTCTCATCTTAAACTTCATTGATAATCAATATTTAAGTAATAAACACATGAATCATGGCAATAGGTCCTCTTATGACGAGTACTACCTTCCATGTATTACAATGCATTTATTTCTTAAATGTTATAATTTATGTGACAACAATTTCTTAATGAATGACCCCTACGTTCATTCTTGATCCAACATAGATGAATTTTTTTTTTTCTCAAACTTAAGGTGCACATAAAATAGAGAAAAAACATCACATTAAGTAAGAGTTTAATGAGAAAACATAGTTCGTACAATGAATGAACTACATAATGGAATTAAGTCCCATTGACATTACATGATCCTTGAATTTAGATGGTGGCATGCCCTTAGTCAAAGGATCAGCAATCATCAATTCAGTACTGATGTGTTCAATGACCACTTTTCCTTCCTTAACACGTTCCCTTATGGCTAAGTACTTAATGTCGATATGCTTACTTCGACTACCACTTTTGTTATTCTTAGTCATAAAAACAGCAGCTGAATTGTCACAAAATATCCTCAATGGCCTGTGAATAGAATCTAAGATTCTAAGCCCCGAAATGAAACTCCTAATCCATACACCATTCGATGTAGCCTCAAAACAAGCCACGAACTCAGCTTCCATAGTGGAAGTAGCAATCAAGGACTGTTTGGCACTCCTCCATGAAATAGCTCCACCAGCCATCATAAAGATGTAACCTGATGTTGATTTACGTGAATCCATACAACCGGCAAAGTCTGAATCAGAATAACCAACTACTTCCAAACTGTCAGTCCGTCTGTAGGTAAGCATGTAGTCCTTGGTGCCTTGAAGGTACCGCATCACTTTCTTTGCAGCTCTCCAGTGGTCTAAACCTGGATTACTCTGATATCGTCCCATCATACCCACAGCAAAAGCTATGTCAGGTCTGGTGCAAACCTGAGCATACATTAGACTTCCAATAGCTGAGGCATATGGGATGTTTTTCATTTGTTCCCTTTCCAAGTCATTCTTTGGGCATTGGTTCAAATTGAACCTATCACCCTTCACAATGGGAGCTACACTAGGTGCACAATCCTTCATTCGATATCTCTCTAAGACTTTGTTAATATAGGTTTCCTGAGACAGACCTAAGATGCCTTTACATCTGTCTCTATGGATCTTAATGCCAATGACATAAGATGCCTCACCCATATCTTTCATATCAAAATTCTTAGAAAGGAATTGTTTCACCTCATGTAATAACCCCATATCATTAGTTGCAAGTAGAATATCATCCACATATAAAACAAGAAAACATATCTTACTCCCACTGACCTTCTGGTATATACACTGATCCAAAGACGTTTTCAACAAATCCAAATGAAGAAATAACACCATGAAACTTGTAATACCACTGGCGGGACGCTTGTTTTAAACCATAAATGGATTTATTGAGTTTGCAAACCAAGTGCTCACCATTACTAGAGGGGAATCCTTCTGGTTGTTTCATGTAAACCTCCTCCTCTAAATCACCATTAAGAAAAGCCGTTTTCACATCCATTTGGTGCAACTCCATGTCAAAATGTGCTACCAATGCCAAAATAATCCTTAAGGAATCTTTCTTAGATACAGGAGAGAATGTCTCCTTGTAGTCGATTCCTTCCTTTTGAGTGAATCCCTTAGCAACAAGTAGTCTAGCTTTGTATCTCTCAATGTTGCCCAACGAGTCCCTTTTGGTCTTAAAGACCCATTTATTTCCAATAGCTTTAGCTTCATTAGGCAACTCTACAAGGCTCAAAACATTGTTGTCCCTCATAGAATTCATTTCCTCTATCATAGCATTGTACCAATATTCAGACTCTTTGCAATTAATGGCTTGTGAAAAAGATTTAGGACAATCTTCAGTTTCTATATCATAGTCAGTTTCTTGTAGATACACTACATAGTCACTAGGAATAGCCGATTTCCTTGTTCTAGTAGATCTTCTTAATGTTGCACCAACATCTTCTTGGGGAGGATGTGGTTCAACTAGTTGTTCAAAAATTGGTAATTCTTGAACTTCCTGATCTACTTGAATGATGTCAGCCGCTTGTGGAACTTCAATGATTGGTTGTTCAACACCAATTTGTACTGAAGGGGTGTTTTGAATAACAATCATCCTATTACTTGAAGTGGAAGGTTAATTACCTGAATGGTCATTTTCAAAAATTGTGTTCCTTAAATGATCCCTCCCACTAATTAAGTCATTCTCAAGAAATTTGGCATTCCTTGATTCCACAGTCCTGGTGGTAAGAGTTGGACAATAAAATCTGTAACCCTTGGACCTTTCAGCATATCCAAGGAAATAACCACTAATGGTCCTCGGATCCAATTTCTTTTCTTGTGGATTATAAATCCTCACTTCAGACGGGCATCCCCAAACACGTACATGCCTTAAACTCGATTTCCAACATTTAAATAACTCAAACGGTGTTTTAGGAACAGCTTTGGTTGGAACCCGGTTTAAGATGTATACAGCCGTCTTAAATGCCTCAGTCCACAAGTTTTTAGGAAGATTGGAGCTACTCTGCATGCTCCGCACCATGTCCAATAATGTTCGGTTTCTTCTTTCAGCTACACTATTTTGGTCCGGTGAACCAGGCATGGTATGTTGGGGAACAATCTCATTTTCTTGAAGAAACCTCGCAAAAGGACCAAGTGCTTGTCCATCTTCTGTATATCTACCATAGTATTCTCTACCTCGGTCTGACCTCACGATCTTAATTTACTTACCGCATTGTTTCTCCACTTCAGCCTTGAAAACTTTAAAGGCATCTAATGCTTCATTCTTATTATGAAGCAAGTAGAGATACATGTATCGTGAAAAGTCATCAATGAATGAAATGAAGTATTTCTGACCATGTGAGTCCATGTCTGGACTACAAATGTCTGTATGTATGATTTCCAATATGTGAGAACTCCTTGTGGCACCTTTCGTAGACTTGTTGGTCAGCTTTCTCTTTATGCAGTCCACACAAGTTTCAAAACTAGTAAAGTCAAGTGAACTAAGTACCCCATCACTTACTAATCTTTTAATACACTCAATGGAGATATGACCTAATCTCTGGTGCCATAATGTAATGGCATTCTCATTTACAACACATCTTTTTATACCGGTGTGAACATGCATAGCATTATGAGTGGCATCATTTTGCAAATCAATACAGAAAAGACCATCACAATGTACCAACTCCAACAATTTCAGATTTATAATCTAAACTGAAAGATGTATCTGAAAACTTAAAAGAGTATCCCAATGGTACAAGTTTAGAAACTGAAATTAAATTCCTAGAAAAACTAGGAATATAGAAAGTCTTTTCCAAAATTAATTCAAAACCACTACTTAAAACCAAATTGCATGTTCCTCTAGCATCCACATGTGAACGCATCTTGTTTCCCGAATAGATGCTTTGTTCACTTCCCACCGGCTTCCTTAGGTTTCGCATACCCTGCAAGGAATTCGAAATATGGATTGTAGAACCAGAATCAATCCACCAAGTATTGTAAACATTATCAACCATATTGGATTCATAACAAACTAAAGAGAGTTGATTACCTTTCTTCTCAAGCCATTTCTGGAATTTAGGACAATCCTTCTTAACATGTCCCTTCTTCTTACAGAAGAAACACACTGGATCTTTCTTTATGTCAGCTTGTGGAGCCAACCTCTTTTTCCCTTTCTTATTGGCCTTAGCTTTATTCTTTCCCTGCGTAGCCAGCATTGCACTCTCTCCCGTCTCCATAATCAATCTCCCTTCCTCTTGAACACACATGGTCATTAGTTCATTAATAGACCATTTATCCTTATGTGTGTTGTAAGAGATTTTGAAAGGACTGTATTGAGGTGGGAGAGTATTCAAAATATAGTGCACGAGAAAAGAATCCGAAATATCAACCTCCAGTTTCTTAAGTTGGGCTGCAGTGTCCCTCATCTGCATGATGTGCTCACGCACACCCCTCACATTGACAAGCCTTGTGGAACAAAACTTCATAATTAGGGTGCTTGCAAGCGCCTTATCTGAAGTGACGAATTGCTCATCAATGGCCTTTAGTAAATCACGGACTTTGGTATGCTGATCGACTGAACCACGAATACTAGTAGAGATTTTGGTTTTTATGAACATAACACTGAGTCCTAAGCGCACTTAAGCGCCTTATCGGGAATTTCACAACCGACATCAGAAATTTTAACAAGTTGGCTAGCTGCATAAATTTAAATATACATGCTTACATTAAAATAAAGCATAAATGAAGTTCATGATCTACAAAATTTTAACAGGTTGGCTAGCTGCATAAATTTAAATATACATGCTTACGTTAAAATAAGGCATAAATGAAGTTCATGATCTGCCAATGTGAATCATGCTATAGAAATAAAAAATAAAAAAAAATTGAATCTAATGACATATAAAATTGCCTGTGGACTAAAATTTTAATTCAAGTAGATTCAATTAGTCTTTATGATATATAGTATCACAAATTGAACTTTATGATAAAACTATCAAATTATTTACTGAATTCATAATTCCTGTGGGTAATTTATGAATAACTTGATATTTTATCCTAATTAATAATAATAAAAATTCCTGTGGGATAAAATTTATTATATCAATTACAATTAATGTCTAATATTCTTTATGTTATCCTTATCAATCAATATATATAATTTTATTTAATTAAAGATGCTGTGGCCACTCTCTAATTAATTAATTATATGGATCACTAGACATTATCGAATTAAACAAGCAAGGGCTAAATAACAGAAAAAGAACAGAAATAAAAGGAACAAAACTGGGTGGTAGACCCAAATTTATATATATATATATATATATATCATTGAGAGAGATAAGCAGAGCATCACCAAAACACCAAGGCAGAGAATAAAGCATGCTCTGATACCAAATGTGAGTCCATTATACGATTCTTTAATGCAGAATAAATACTTGATATGAATCGCAATAAATGAAGAAACTAAATTGCTCAAGAACAGTACCTCCAGCCATTGGTGCTGCTCACGTTAGGAGACGCTGGTTTAACAGTCTTCCAAACGCTACTCACTCTAATTTGATGGTGTAAGACTGAAGAGAATTGAGTCAGTGAGCTTGGGGACCAAAACCAAGTATTTATAGCCAAGCTCTCATCAAACTTTTCGGTGGCTCCATGTTGTCACTGTTTCAGATTATCATGGGCACGTTCCAACTGCTCTATGAACATGATGAAGATGCATAGAAGTTGAGGACCATTATAAAAACAAATTTCCTGAAATTAAGAGAAGCTTGACACCCGTTCTTATGAACGGTTTCTGTGAGAAGCGGTCAATAGTTTGCGCTTGGGTTTGGCTCATATTTCAATTCCTTGAGTTTCTTTTCTATCTGGTAGCTAGAATTTTCATTAGGGACTCTTTTGTTTACGGTGATTCTTATCATTATGTGTCCTTAAAATTAGTCAATAGATGAAGTGATGCAATTGATCTTGTGCAGTTGTAACCATTCCTCACAAGAAGGCTGCACTTAAGTGCTGCGATGAGGTTGATCCTGTTGCAAAGGTAATTGATGATCTCATAGTTTTGCAGCGTTCATTTGATGAATTTGATCCAGTTAAAATGTTCAATGTTTTTTAGGTGTTCTACCTTTTCTAATATCGTGTGCAATTGATTTTCTTCTTGATGACATCAAACGGTCAATAGGAGCTGTTAATTGCATTGTCAGGAAAAGTGGTGGGAAATTCTTTGGCTGCAGTACAGACTATATTGGTGCTATTACTGCTATCGAGGATGCACTAGGAGGTTTCTTTTGTACTGTACTAGTTAGGCAAATTTCTTTCATAGAGTTTTTTAGCCCATTCTAAACTCCACTATTTTGTTTTACAGCTTCGCAGCATGTAAGTGGCACAGTTGTGTCGTCCTTGGCTGGTAAACTGTTAGTCATTGGTGCCGATGGTGCTGGCAAGGCACTTGCTTATGGCACGAAAGCAAAGGGAGCAAAAGTTGTAATTGCAAATCGCACCTGTAGTTAGTTTCGAGCTTCGAATTGTATTTTGCTGTAGTATATTTCATTAAGAATGAAATGTTACATGGCTTACTAGTTCTATCAAGTCTTTCCATTATATGATTATTTCCATTAAATATTTGCTTTTAGGTTATCTTTCAACGTATAGCGAATAGTCTATCTTTGCTCAAATGAGAGTTGCAAAATGCACAATCTTTATGCATTCACAAGCAATTATCTTCATGGACTTGCTAGATGTAAATTTGATGTAAATGATTTATTTTACAGGTTTTGAACCTTGGTCAGCTGCAAATGCATGCCAATGCTTTTGTTAATGAGACTGGCATTTCAATGTTGGGTTACTCATTCATTAACAGAGAGATCCATATCATATGTTCAGTGGAAACAGTGAAAATGTTCGTCTGCACGATTGTAAGAGAATGAAGAACGTGTATTATGTTTATATAATTCGAAACTTTACTTTACTTTACTTTACTTTCTTTTTTTTTTTTCTTTTTTTTTCTTCTTGGTATTAAAAAAAAATGGTCATGTAAGCTCCACGAGTCCCCAGCCCCAGGCTAAGACATTGCTTAAGGCAACTTATAAGGATGTCACGCCAAGGGACGATAGAGGATCGAATTTAGGTAAATGCGTTTTTGGATCGATCCCTAACCACTTAACCACCCCTCAGGGGTAAAATAAAACTTTACTTTCAATAGCAAAACATGAATCATTCCTTTTTATAATGCGCGGAATGAGTTTTAAGGCTAAATATCTATTGGATGTAAGATTTATTTTAGTAGATTACATCATTTTTTATTAATGGGATGGGATTCTCTAGATTGGAGATTTTGATTAATAAGCATATAATATTCTTACAATTTTGATTGATAAACATGTATCTCTAGTACAATAGGATTTTCTCCGATCTGGATTGTGATTATGGGTTATTTTGGAAAGTTAATTAAAACTTTTTGATTTTTTTTGAAAAAACGTGTAAAAGAATAGATAGGTATATAATCTGAAATAGGTTAAAAGCCAAGCATCTTCCCAAATGAGCATATATTGTTCTTAGAATTGTCATTCTCATTTTTTGTTGTTGCAATCTCTCTATCTATAATAAAAAATAATAATAATAATAATAAAAGAGTAAAAATCTTGTCTCCAATCCATTTAGATCGTTCAGTTCGGACCTACCATGACCCACTTTGATTATTCAATCTATTTATTTTTGTAAGTCTTTATATATAGATCATCTATATAAAAATAAATAAATTTTATTTTTATTCATTTCAAAACAATAGACAATAAATATGAATTTCAAAATAGAACATTCATTTTTAAAAGATGAATATGATGAAATCATGTTGTTACGATAATTGGATAAATATGACTTTTTTCATGAATGATCTACAGGTAAGTGCCTATAACATGAACGAATTAAATTATCAACTTAGGATCTATGGTGAATTCCACATGCCTGAATTAGACTATCCAATAATAAATTAGAGAGAATCATCACTCTTTAAATAAGGACAAATTATGAACTTAGTTCCTATAATTTATTTCTTATAACAATTTGGTCATTGTAATTTGAATTGTATAAATTTTGTCTGTTAATTTTTGGTATCTTGTCAATTTAATCTTACTGAAACATTGGTTAAGAATTTAAGTAAGAATCAAAGGAACAATGATCCATTCATAAGAAAATGCATTATTTAAAATTGAATGCCAACTCGTCAACTACCTTAAGAATCGTGAATTAATTATCTTGTTCCTTAATTTTAACTTAATTTCTAAATGAGAGTTATCAATTGAATGAAAGAGGACCATCTATGGCATTTTTTTCATTTAACAATTGATTCATAATGATTAGCTGGTCCTTGGATTAACTATTGAATGATGACGGTATAGAGAAAGTACTATAGTGGATCTGGAAATTAGACTAAAGTGACACAATATAAAAGATTAAGGATAAAATTGATATAATTTAAGCTTACAAAGATAAAATTGACAAAATAGTCAAATTACAAGAACTACAAGTATAATTTGTCCAAAAAAATATTTGCAACTTTGTTGCAAGGGTAAAAATGGAAAAGATGAATAAAAAAAAGGACAGAACTACATATAAATGGAAGAATGAGAAAAAAATTACAAATACATGAGGGTATAAGTTTACCTATAGTGGGTACAAATGAAAGGCTATAGGATGCAAATGTCAATTGCACCCCTCCGTATATTGATAATTTTTTTCCCTTCTCTTACCTGTATATAATTCTCCCTGAAAAGAAAAGCCCTCAAGTTCAATTTAATTACAAACGTCTTAACCAACTATTCAAAATGGGGCTACCTTCGTAATTAAGCCAAACTCGAGGACTACTTCTCCCTCCTCTCTCTCTCTCTTCTCTCTCTCTCTTATGTTCTGTTCCGTTCTCGCTGGTCGCACTTCGCTTGGGTACCATAATTCGCCTCCTCTTCTCTTCCTCATTCTCTCAACAAAGTCAACTCGTCGTTTGAACAACCAAGTAAGCTCTTTTTATCTGATCTTCAATTACATAACTTTGCTTTTCATGTTATTAAATTAAATTTCTATTTTTTATGTACTTATGTTAACTTTGTTCGGAATCAAATCAATTTTAGGGTTTTGGGTTGTTGAAATTTTTTTGATTTTCTTTTTGGGGGAAGATTTTCACTTGATTAATCAACTTACCATACACTATTCTCAGTTTGTTTTGTGGGTAATTTCTTAGTTGAATTCCCTTGAATGGCATTTTCTGGGTTTTTCATTTGATTGATGTTTATGTTACTTTAACTGAGTTGCTTTTTTTGAAGTAAATACTGCACAAACTTGAAATTTGAGCTTGTTTTTGCCCCATTTGTGTCATTTTAGGGTTTATTGTTCAATTTTTGTCATTTTTTACAAGGGTTTATTTTATTGTATTTTATTTTTGGTTGTATGGTTGGTTTATCACCATGTTACTTGGAATGTGGATCATTCATATGTGGAATGGGAACAAAAAGCGGCCGCAACCATTACGTAAGGCCGTTATTACGTAACGGTTGTGGTAGTTACTGCCACCCGTTACGGCTGCTTTTGCAGTGTGATTGAGATTCACAGGTGCATCGACCGTAGTGGCTGCTATAGCGGTTGTAACGGTGCCGTAACGGCCTGTTACGCACAGTTACGTAACGGTTCCGAATTGTTTCTTTTAAAAAAACACAAAAAATAATAAATAAAATAAGTGTTGAAAATGGGGGAAGAGAGAGAGAGAGAAGAGGGAAGATGGAGGAACAAGAGATAGAGAGAGAGAAGAGGGAAGATGAAGAACATGTTATTGATTTGCTGAAGCTGTAAGACCTATGCTATTCTATTCAGCTGCTATCACTCAACCATTTTATTTGTATGTGTCTATCTATATATTGTTTGACAATAATAATAATAATAATAATAAGTGTGGTCATTATCTATGTGACTTGATTTATATATATATATATATATATATATAGCCTTTTATTTATTCTCTTACTTTTGTCATTGTTTATCTTATATATAATAGTTAGTGATTAATTTTTTGTATAATATAAAGTCATTAATTATTAAAATAAAATGTAAAAAATTCAGTTTATAGTGATTTAAAAATATGATATATATTGGATCAAACTTAAAAATTTATAAAAATTGATCAATATTTATTTTAAAATATAATAAATATGATTATGGAAAAAAAAATATGCATATCGGTAAGTTTTTTTTAAATTGTGCGGGAAAAAAAAATTTCACGGTTCCGGTTACCGCAACCGTTACGCTACGGCCTTTATACCTTGCAACCGCAACCGCGCCACCGCCACCATTACGGCGACCGCAACCACTTTTCAGAACCTTTAATACGCTACATGTTTTGAAATGTGGTATGATAGGGTATACTTGTTTAGATTTTAATATTAAAATTTAAGGGATTCCTAGAACAACTTTATTTTAATAGTTAGGTATCCATAAAGTATAGTTAATTTTTTTTTTCCTCAAATAAATTATGTAACACATTTCTATGAGCCACTCTTCTTTGATTTTGGTTCGATGTTTATGATTTTTATTCCTCCTAAGAAACCTATAAAGAAATACATTTGTTATTTTTTATAATTTGCTTTGGATCGCTATATTTATCATTTAGGAACGCGAGAGTATTATGTTTTGAACCGTGTGTTCCAAAACATTAATCGCTAGGGTATTAACATTTTCTGTTTGCACTGGTTTATCACTTTTTGCTTGTTGAAATTTGATTTCTTTAATTGATGAGTGAATTGTGAAACCTTACATTTTTGTTGTGATTTTTGCATGCAATGTGTGTAACACATCTTTTTGTTTGTATTACTATTTGGTTTGTTTTTCTGTATTGGAGTAGTTGTAAATTATAGGTTTTGTTTCCCAGTTTTGTAGAGTAACCATCGCAGGCTATGTCATTGATACAATGGCTTTGGTGAAATAAGAAATGCTGATTTAATTTATTTTTGGAAAAGGGAAGGAGCTTAGTTGCAGGACTCGCCTTCTGAGAGTTACGTTTCAGCTCTAGAACTGTGATTACATGGTTCAGATAAAGAATTGAGGTAATTGTTTTCCTGTCGAGAATCACAGTTTTAATTGGGACAAGACTACTCGAACATATGAATCCCATAGAAACAAAAAAAACTATCAAGGCAAAAGACAATCTGTGAAAAACAGATATATGGTATATGTAGTAGAAAATAACATATCAATCTACATTAAAATGAAATAAGGGCAAAAAATAAAGAACAGATTGAAATAGTATAAAATACCCAAACCTCTTGCCTTCTATTCTTATTCTCCCAACCTTAGACTCATATATGTCCCCTTACTCCCACTCCCCTTCGCTTCCTACAACTAAGGGAAGGAGTGAAGAAAGAGACATTATCAACGGGGTAGTTTTTTGTTGTTGTTGTTGTTGTGTGTGTGTGTGTTTTGTTGAGGGATGGTGGGGGGTTTGGCATGGTTTCACCTTGTGTTATTACATTACTAGCTTATCTGTTTTTTTCTCAAATTCCTTGGCAGAAGAGTTTGTTTTCGGTCCTAGTAATGAGGGTGGGTTTTGGTGCACTGTCAATGGACCAAGATATACTTGTCTTCATGTGGATTGTTCTAAGATTGGTGAATAGGTTATGCTGTTCCATTTTGTTGTGGTTTGACAAAGTTGTAAATGAAAGGTTAACTCAATGGCATCAAGTTTTTTGGGATGAAGGTTGAATGTTTTACACTTGTAGTTGATCTGTGTTTGGTCCTAGATGTGTAAAAGCTGTATTATTGTTATAGCCTACTTTTTATTAGTTTCAATCATATTCATGGAGTATATTGATTTCAAGAAGATGTTCCAATTTTTATGAAGTTCTTTCATGTCCGTTTGGAATCGTTTACATCAACAAGTTGAGGGATTACATAATTTTAGTGTGGGATTTGACACTAAGGTTTCTTAAAAGTTTGGGACACGATAAGTGTTGTTGTGATAACCAAGTATATCATGTTCAAGGCATTTAACAAATTTTTTACTTAACTTTAGTATCAAGGATTATTTTGAAAGTTTGGACTGGAGTTGTTTGATGATTTACAAGTTCTTGACTTTAGATGGATGAATTTCATGGCATGTGTTTTTTCACTATATTTTCTGGAAGAAATACATCTCCTAGGCAACTTGTATAGTTGTTAGATATGGGTTTTCAGTCTCTTCATTTACAAGATAAGCATAGGAGCTATTCCAAAGACGAAATTTGTCTTTACAACACTCCCCCTGCTTATGAACCCTGTGGTTCAAAATTTTGTTTTAGACTACATTTCTTACAATACTTTTTCCTGAAAGCGTTTAATAAGCATTAGAATATACTTAGAATAATAAGAGAGAAAAATATAAATGCTTTAAATGTTTAAAATTCTATGAAACATAAATGAATACTTGTTTGAAACCAAGGGAGAGGAGTGCTGTATTATTTTATGTAACTTGTGGCTTTTTAAGTGTGCATCAAAGACAAGACTTGGTATAAATAATAACCCTTAAAACTTCCCACGTCCAATCTCACAAACAACTAGCCTATCCACCTTCACAGGAAGCATACCCTAACAAGCAGACGCAGACACAGACACAGACACAGACACGGACACGGACACGGACACGGACACGGACATGGACACGAACACGGACACGCAAACACGTAAATTTTAAAAAAATGCAGGACATGACACGTGGGGGACATATGTAAAAAATATAATTTTATATATTTATTATTTGTCATATTTTTAAATATTTAATATGTATTTTATTTCAAATATTTAATTTTATCAAATTTATTAATAACCCTTAAAAATTCCCACGTCCAATCTCACAAACAACTAGCCTATCCACCTTCACAGGAAGCATACCCTAACAAGCACGGACACGGACACGGACACGGACACGAACACGTGACACGATGCGGACACGCAAACACGTAAATTTTAAAAAAATGCAGGACATGACACGTGGGGGACATATGTAAAAAATATAATTTTATATATTTATTATTTGTCATATTTTTAAATATTTAATATGTATTTTATTTCAAATATTTAATTTTATCAAATTTATTAACTTTAGGTATGTTGTTTTAGTAAAACAATTAATTCTTTTGAAAAAAATAGTCCCAGCGTGTCCTCAGTGTGTCCCTACGTGTCTGCAGTGTGTCCCAAGTGGCCCAGCATGTCTGACTCTTTCTAGCGTGTCTGACACTTGTCCAGAACGTGTCTGGTGTGTGTCTGGCGTGTGTCAGACACTCATACGTGACCTCCAGAGGTGTCCGTGCTTCATAGAGCATAACACTAACCTCCCACTTTTTAAATAGAATAGAAGTAATCTCAAATTTTAGGATGTTAATCTAGTTTCCTATGATAATTGTTTCTGCAGCTTTCTTTACTTTTGTGTTTTTTCTACACTCTAGGCCCCTCTTCTTTGATACACTGGAAAATACATTTCAACATCTTTTATGCCACTGCACCTTGACCATGGTGTGTGTGTGCGTGTGTGTGTGTGGTAGCTTTTCAGCTTGATGATTAATTGACCCTAATTACCGACTTCTTTCCTTCTCGTAACATTTAAACATTAGGAATCAAAATCCAAAATCTTTTATATAAAATCTGAAAATTATACATATACTGACACTCATAAAAAATGGTGTGATGAGCGCTTGTAGAGGGCACTGCTCATTGAACTCTTAACCTTGTGGTTGAGTCCATTCAATCACCCAACAACCAGGCAAAGGACACCTGTCCCTTTTTCTTGATCCATGAAGCTTGCATAAAGGGAAACTTATTATTCTTTTCATATTAGAGTGTTGATAAAGGACTGTAATTTAGTGCTTATGTGCAGATTCTCTGTTTTAACATGAGTGCATATGGTTGGAGTTCATAATCAGGAGCGGAGCCAGGACTTTTTTTGTTTGTGTTAGTATGAATGTCATGAGAACCTTTCACACCAATAAGCACAAACATGCATACTTAGGAATGCACATGTTTATAGGCATCTATGTGTGTGTGCGCCAATCATTTGATGGTGCTAAAATCCTGGTTTATTTTCCTATTTCTGGTCATGATCTTGGCACCCATTTGGCTAATCAAGGCAGTTGCCTTGTGTGCTGCTAAATTTCTTGTTTATGGTTGGAAGTTTATTTATGAAGTTTCATTACTGCCTGCCCTCTTCCCTAATACCTTGTCCTTTCCCCCTTTTTGCCCTTGTTGACTGTAAAGTAAATTAATGCCTGTTTGCAGGCCTGTGTGAATAAATCTGAAGGGCTGATGTAATTTTAGCATTTTCACTTGGCTGTGTTGCTATATCACTCAAGCATGAGGTGTAAACATATATTCGTTTTATAGAAGCAATTTGAGCCAGGTTTTCTGGAGTTTGGATCGATGATGGATTGCAACAAAGAAGAAGCTGTCAGGGCCAAACAGATTGCGGAGAATATGATGCAACGTAAGGACTTTGTGGAGGCTCGGAAGTTTGTACTTAAGGCCCAACGACTCTATCCTGATCTGGAGAACATTTCCCAGATGATTATGGTTTGTGATGTACACTGCTCTGCTGAGAACAAGGTTTTTGGAAATGAAAAGGACTGGTATGGTATCCTCAAAATCGAGCCAACAGCAGATGAAGCATCAATCAAGAAGCAATACCGGAAGTTTGCTCTTTTGCTTCATCCTGATAAGAACAAGTTTCCTGGTGCAACAGATGCCTTTAAGTTGATTGGGGAAGCTCAGAGGGTGCTTTTGGATCGTGAGAAGCGAATGTTACATGACAGTAAATGTAAAGCTTCAAGACCTATGGCACCTAATTGGGGCCGACAGCAAGCAAGCAGTAACCCAAATGTTGTGAAACAACAGCCTTGGGTACAAAACCGTTTTATGGGCAAGCCTCCTTCGCCGTTCACGAGCTTCACTCCCCAGCAGCAGCAGCCACATGCACAAACTCAACCGGCATTCCCCAACAACCGACCGACTTTCTGGACTGTCTGTCCTTTCTGTTCCGTAAGGTATCAGTTTTATAGAGAGGTGGTCAACAAACTTCTATGGTGTCAAAATTGTAAAAGGTCCTTCACTGGCTATGAGGCCCAAGCTACAACATCAGAAACCAACTGGACTCAGCCTGTATTCCCCAAACAAGAGAACCAAACAAGAGGGTCGGTCCCAAAGATGGGAACTTCTAAGGTCAACCCGAAAAAAGGAAGCACTTCGAAGGTTAGTAAGAGAAGGAAGCAGGTATCGGAATCCAGTGATGACACTGGAAGTAGCAGTGACTCAGAAGAAGATAAGGTTGGAAAGAAAAGGAAGCAGGTAGCAGAATCCAGTGAAAGTTGTGACACTGGAAATAGCAGCGACTCTGAAGAAGATATTGTTATTGAAGAGGATGGTGATGTTCAGGCTAAGCAGAATTTTGGATGTTATGGAGAGTACCCCCGGAGATCTACTCGGTCTAAACAGAATATTTCTTACAAGGAAAATTTAAGTGACGATGAAAACTTGAGTGACAATGATGACCTTGAGAGACCTTTGAAAAGGGGGAAGTGCAGTGGATCATTTCGTGCCATGGAACAGGAGGCTGATGACCCATTATTGAAAGAAGAGGCACCCAAAATGAATGAACCAGATGGTTATGGTGTTGATATTGAAGGGGATGTGAAAGAGGTGAAACGGAAAGAAAATGCCTTCCATGAAGGGAACTTGCAAAATGGGAAAGAGGAAACTAAGAAGGTAAATGGGGATAAAAAAGCTACAGAGGATGGCCACAAGGGAACTTCTGCAGCTAATGGTGAGTCTCCATTGAATTCAATCCCCAATGTGGCAACAGATCCAGAAATTTATGAATATCCTGATCCAGATTTCAGCGACTTCGATAAGGATAGAAAACAAGAATGTTTTGCAGTTGGGCAAACCTGGGCTGTTTATGATACTCTGGATGCCATGCCTAGATTCTATGCTCGGATCAAGAAAGTGTTCTCGCCTGGGTTCAGATTGAAGATAACTTGGCTAGAGCCAGACCCAGATGATGAGGATGAAATTAAATGGGTTGAAAAGGGTTTGCCAGCTTCATGTGGTAATTTCAAGCATGGAAATACCGAAAACACTGAAGATCATCCTATGTTCTCACATTTGATTCTCTGGGAAAAGGGCAGCCGAAGGGATACTTACAAGATACATCCAAGAAAGGGTGAAACTTGGGCCCTCTTCAAGAATTGGGACATAAAATGGAATTCTGATCCAGAAAGTAGGAAGTATGAATTTGAGTTTGTGGAAGTCTTGTCAGACTATACTGAGGGTATTGGTGTTTCTGTTGCATACTTGCGTAAGCTGAGAGGCTTTTCATGTCTTTTCTGTCGGACGGTGAAGGATGGGACAGATTCATTTCAAGTACCTCCTAATCAACTATTCAGATTCTCCCACAGGGTTCCTTCCTTTCAAATGAGCGGTGAGGAAAGAAAAGATGTTCCTAGGGGATCTTTTGAACTAGATCCTGCTTGCCTGCCTATGAACATCGAAGAGATTGATGCTCCTCAAGATTTGAAGGTGGAACCAGTGGCAGTGTCCAAAGAAAATACATCTGAGTGCCACATGAACAAGAATTCCCAATTAGATCCTGAGCACATCAGTTCTGATGATGGTACTGAAGACCCTCATGAAGCTTTTGAAATTCCTGATCCGGAATTTTACAACTTCGATGATGAGAAATCCGCTGAAAAGTTTGAGACTGGTCAGGTTTGGGCATTATACAGCGATGTGGATGGCTTGCCAAAGTACTATGCTCAGATTAAGAAAATTGATAGGCAACCAGAGTTTAAATTGTGTATAGCATGGCTTGCTGCATGCCCGCCGCCAAAGAACATAGTTCGGTGGCTTGACAGAGATATGCTCATTTGTTGTGGGAGGTTTAAGCCTAAAAAGGGCTTATCCAAGGAATATACTGAAACTGGTGCTTTTTCTCATCAGTTAAGAGCAGAACATACGGATGAGAAAGATGTATATGCCATCTTTCCTAAGAAAGGTGAGGTTTGGGCACTATACAAGAACTGGAATGCTGGAATTACATATTCTGACTTGTCGAGTTGTGAATATGACATTGTAGAAATCCTCCAGGAAAATGATGTGGATATTAAGGTTTTGTTTTTAGAGCCGGTGAATGGATTTAAAACAGTTTTCAAGTATCAGATGAAAGAAGGATCGTCTCTCACAATGAAGTTACCAAAGAAGGAGCTGCTTAGATTTTCCCATCAAATTCCTTTTTTCCGTTTGACAGAAGAGAGAGGTGGCAGCCTGAGAGGGTACTGGGAGCTTGATCCTGCAGCATTGCCTGTTGCTTTTTTTTCTTCAAGTTGATGTGGGAGGACGATGAATCTTATGCCCTCTTGTAAGTTGTACATACCACATATTTATGCAACACCACAGCTGTCAAGGCATTCTGCTCGTGGTGGTTGCTCGGTAAATGTGATATTTTGGTGGGAAAAGACAGCACTGGATATTCAGATACCCGAGTGAGTCTTGGCATGCATTAATTCATCAACTGGTGCTTTCTGAGTTTGGTCATCAGGAATCGTTGGCTGGCTGACCATGATAGAAGTTGTCCACATCTGATGGTTTTTGATCTCGGGCTAGCTGCATAAGAAGGTAAAGGTGGTTCTGTCGGTTTCATGTTTACATTATTTTTATCTATGTTAATTTTTTTTTTTTTTTTTTTTAATTTTTTTTTTTTTTTTTTTTTTTTCTCGAGTGTGAAATGAAGCTTGGCCAATTAGGCTGACAAGTTAATGGTGGGATGACATGTGAAATGACTATTATCATCTAAACTCTAGTCACAACTTAAATTGGGACTTCTTTATCTTGTAGATACTTTTGATAACCTTTTTTCCCGTTATCTTCATGTTTAGTATCCAATGTTAGCTTTACTTGGCTTCATATTGTTGTTTTGCTTTTGGCTAGTACTAATGGCCTCATTAATTCTTTACCTTTGGCTTTGAACTCTTCCAGGGGTACAGTGGCGTTTGGGTGTGTGTTTTGTATTCTATGGGACCCATACAGTGGTTGGTTTTTACATATATTTGGATGAAGTTGTGGAGTTGGAAATATACTATGAATCCATTGTGTGTATGGTTTTAATAACTGTATGGGACTAGGATTTCTTTTGTGTGCCTATAATAGGACACTTGCGGTAATTCTAGCGGTGTGAGATTGAGCGGGTTTGTAGAGATGTAGGGGAGACGGAAAAATACCAGGGGCACCCGTTGTGAGCGCGTAAGTAGTGTTTACCAGTTAGCATTGAGTAGGAAAACAGGTATTGTTTGGGGACTTGGGTATTGGTGTTGGACTTTTGTTTATTTTTTGTCTTATATTTGTACTCTGTTTGATAATGGATTTCTCTCTAACCCGTGAATGTATACAGGTTTGTATTGAATGACGTTAATTCTGTGTGTGAATTTTTCTCATTTGTGTGTGACCCTGCTTCGATTTGAGTGGGATGTGCAATAGTCCCAGAAAGTGATACAGAAACCTTGCTAGTGTATGATCTTATAGGCTCATTTGTGATATCAAGTATTTTCAAATCACATTCATCCATGGATTTGCTATCTATGTTCTTTGGTGGGTGCTCGAACTGTTTGGTTGTGCTTTCCCTTCTGTTTTTATTTTTTTAAGAAAACACATGGCCTTATTTGGTTTATTTTTTAGAAAAAATTTTGGGAAAAGTTCTCTACAAATAAATTTTCAAAAGTAATTAAACCAAACAAATTTTTCAAAAAAAAATCTCAAAATTTTGTTTAGTTACCTACTTTCCAAAATCACTCTCTCTCTCTCATACACATCAAATCAATCACTTTTTTTAAAACTCTCTCTCCAAAATAATTTTTCAAAATCATTTCTTAAAAAAGACAAAATAAACAAGTTTTCGTACTTTTTGTCTCAAAAATTACTTTACAAACACAAACCAAACAAAGTTTGTTTGTCCAACTATTTTAATGTTTTGTTCCCTTTCAATATAACTAGTAATTTCTAGGAAATACCAAATGGTTGTTTTTTAAATTTTTTAAGGACAATCACTTTTTTTAAAACTCTCTCTTCAAAATAATTTTTCAAAATCATTTCTTAATAAAGACAAACTAAACAAGTTTTCGTACTTTTTGTCTCAAAAATTACTTTACAAACACAAACCAAACAAAGTTTGTTTGTCCAACTATTTTAATGTTTTGTTCCCTTTCAATATAACTAGTAATTTCTAGGAAATACCAAATGGTTGTTTTTTAAATTTTTTAAGGACAATTTATCCATAAATCTCATATGGAAAGATGTTGATCCGTTTAGTTTTAAGAGTTTTCTTATGAACTAATTAATACTTTTTGTTTTGAAAAGTTGTATTAGTATCATTTGAATTTAAGTGAATGTCTTTTTATGACTTATTTTTCTAATTTTCTTTTGTTTTTGGAATGGGAATAAAAAGGTGAGGTGTGAAAGATTTTTTTTAGAGTGATTGGTGATTAAAGTGTTGGAAAGTAGTTTTTGTGTGTTACATTATTTGGAGTGTTACATTTAGAAAAAATATATTAAGAAGTTTTTTAAGGATGTTATGTTGTTACGTTTGAGAAAACTACACTAAGTAATTTTTTAATGTATTATATTGATTGGTGTATTACGTGTGAGAAAAGTACGCTATGGAGTTTTAATGTGTTATATTGATTGGAGTATTACGTTTACAAAGAGTACATTAATGAATTTTTTTGTGTGTTACATTAGAATGTTACGTTTGAAAAAAATATACTTTGAAAAAAATGAACTAAGAGTGTGTTAAATTGGGATTTGTTTTTTAAAGTGTTATGTTTAGTAATTTTAACATTATGAGAAAATTCATATTTGCCCCTTAACATATAATACATGCGCGTTTGTACTTGGCCTTTTATGTCATTTACACTAAAAAAATACTTTTGGATCTATAAGGAAAAAAAAAAAAAAGTAGGAAGAACCAAACAATTTATAAAATTACTATTTAAAATTTATTTATGTTCCACGCTCTTTAAAAACTATTTTCACACAAAAATGAACACTATGAGTGTCTTTTTAACTTTTGTCTATCTTTGTTCTTGTCTGTTCAGCAAACTTGCTCGGTGATTATTGAAGAGACTATGGGCAATTTGGAAAGTTAGTAAAAAGTCAGTTCTTTGATTTCTTAACTTTTTTATACAAAAAAAGTCCAAAAAAAAAATCAGTTTTTTTAGCCAAAAAAAACTAACTTTTTGAGAAGAAAAAAAGGTTAAAAAAATTAATTTTTTACCAACTTTTCAAAACATCACTTTGTCCAAGTTCTTGGAAAAAAACTGAACCCTATTGTGGGTAATGAAATTTTCACCACTTTCTTCCCCCCTTTGTATTTCTCTACAATTTTTTCACAAATGCCAGATCCAAACACAATTGAGAAAACTGGAGAGCTGTTGTGATTGTATGATTCATTTGAATTAATAAGGAATGGAACAATCATTCTATCAGAATATTTATTTTTATGTTTAGTTTATTACAAAAATGACAAAAAGTAGCAAATCATTCTGTAGAGAGGTTACTGAATGAGCATTTTATTCTGTTTTACTTTTATTCCAGTAAATCCAATAGCATGTGCGAAAGGTCTAATGGAAATATTTATGGGATGTCAGTTGGGTATCAAGTGCAATATGAGATGGTATCTTTAACACACATTTTCTCTTTCGAGATTTGTAATCTCATTACTCCATACATTATTGATATTATATCCTAAAATTTTCTAAATAATTATTTTGTCATTTTTCATATTATTTCTTTTTTCTATTATTATGATTACATTTTACAATTTTCCATTATACAAACATAAAATTCTATATAAAATTTTCAAACACCATAATATAGCTTAATGGTAACCTTTCACTTTAAAACAAAACATTCATAAACATAATTTATATTTACAACAATATTATCACAATATTTTTATAATATTTTTTGAATAAATTTTTATATATGAATAAAAAAAATTATTTTTATTTCCACCATCATTTTTTTTCGCGTCTATTCACCCACATTTATTACAGTATTACCAAACACCATCATTCACATTTATTATAGCATTACCGAATTTTTGTATTTTTATATTTTTTTTGTATATGGTGAATTTTTTTTACAAAAATCACTAAATATTATACTTCTTAAGTATATAGATTAGTTGTATCTAAAAAATTTTTAAAAAAAATGTTTAAAATATTTAAAAAAAAAATCAGTAAAAATTAAAAAACACAAAAAAATAAAAATAAAAATTAATTTTTTGTGTGAGTTAAACTAAAGAAGATGATTGTTATTTCTTTTGAAATGACATAAACAAAATATCAGTATTATTTTATTATTTTATATGTATAAAGCTAAGGAATAAATATGTCATTTTAGGATTGGTTTTGCATAAACTAAACAATACAAAAAGTCAAAAAATCACTATCCTATTTAAGTCACATCATCTTATTTAAATCACATCACCTCTCTAACACATCACATCAAACACAACCCATATAAGCCAATAAGTCAAAAAGTACACTTTTTTTAGAACATCTCAAACCAACCCTTAATATGACAGGAGATATGTGTAATTTTTGAAACGTGAATGAGAGATTTGTATTAATGAGAACCACAAGAGTGTTAGGGTAATTTACCCTAATAAAAATATAATGGATCCATTATTTTCACCAATCACAGTGGAGGGGGACAATATTGTAGTAGTAGCCTCTTGCACACGCAATAATTGCTAGTTATATCCTCATATGTTCTTTTTATTTTTCCATAATTGTCCCCACTCCTTTCGGGTTGTGTTTTTATTTATTTATTTATTTTTTTTTTTTTTTTAAATTTTTTGTGATTTTGATTTCAAAACTCTAAAAGGTATAAGGTTAAATCTATTATTGTTGGCTTTTTTGGCTTTCGAAGGTTATTATTGTAATTGTGAGCGTGCCAGTAAGGATCAATCAGTCCTTACAGAATATTAATTGCCAACCAATTATCAGACGATTGTGTTTTAGTTCTTTCAGCCTCAATGAAGAGAACTTTTACTGGTGATTTATTTAGGAGAATTAAGCAAACAATGATTAAATGAAGAACAATTGTAGCATTTCATTAAGTAAAATGAAAGACTTTACAAAGATCCAAATCAGCCTCGTAGATGGTTACAGTAACAAACTACTTGAAACTACTCCTATGAACGAAGTGCAATGCAGGAATTTGAAGTACAGAAATGTAAAAAACAAGAAAATATAAAAACTAGAAAGAAAATAAAGTAGATAAAACTGGTTTTTTGAATCTGAGTCTGGGGCAACTTTCTGAGACCTTCTCTGCTATTTATACTTCTCAATGACAACCGTCGAACTGCATTTCTAACCGTCGAACCACCCTTCTACAGTCGCTGATCACGTTACCTTATAGTTAGCTCCACTATGCCATATCTGCAGTTAGGCTTCCTTCTTGATTTTAAATTCAAATATGAATAACCTTTAAAGCCACGTCATTTTGCATCTCTTTGCTGATCTAGTGTTTATGCAGATCCGCAATAACCAATACTACCTGCCATGTGTGTGATTACGATTGAAGATTTGAATTGTCTTCCCGTATTGCCCCTTATCCTGTCACGTGTCGAACTGTAACTGGCTTATACAAAATATGTAGCCAACATTACCCCTCGCACTAATATACCCAATACTTGGTGATATTAGTGGAGCAAGGTACTTTACCCACGTTTTAGAACGTGCATGGGCTTTTGCATTTTCTAGAAATGCAACCGTCATTCATCATTTGCATTAAACTTTCTTCTAACCCTTGAACACTCCCACTATCTCAGTATTCGAAAAGACTGATACAGCTTTTATGGCCAAACCAATCTTTTCTTACATTGATCAAGCATACGAAGAGTT